AATCCGCCAAAAGCCCCCAAAGCCCCCGGACCGAAACCACATAGTGACCCTGCCAGGGCGCCCCGAGCGTTACAAATGCACCATCTGCCAGAAGACCTTCCGCAACCAAAAGGGCAAGTGCTACCACGACGTCTGCCGCACCGGTGTGTCCCCGTACCGCTGCACCCTCTGCGCCAAGACCTTCGCCAAGAAATCCCACTTCGAGTACCACGAGAGGACGCACACAGGCTACAAGCCCTTCTCCTGCAGCATCTGCTCGAAGGCCTTCCCCCAGCGGAACAAATTGAACCGGCACATGCTGTCCCACGATCCCGAGAAGAAGTACCTCTGCTCATTCTGCGGCAAGAGGTACAGCAAAAAGGACGACCTGACGACCCACAGCATGATCCACACTGGAGCGAAGCCCCACTCGTGCCCCACGTGTGGCAAAACCTTCAGAATTCGAACGAGTTTGAATCGCCACATGAGGAGTCACTCGTCGGAGCGCCCGTGGGCCTGCGACGTGTGCGAGAAGAGTTTCAAGGACAAGGCGCTGCTGGTGAGGCACAGGAAGACGCACGGGAAGGAGAGGCCGTACTGCTGCGCCCACTGCTCGAGGGTCTTCCTGTCGAAGAGTGAGCTGAGAAGACACATATCGAGTCACTCGGACGCCAAGCCCTTCGCCTGCCGCCTCTGCAAGACTGTCTTCAGGCGAAAGGACAATTTAATTCGACACATACGTCATCACCACATGGGGGAGAGCCCGGAGGGGGAGGGCAGCTCCCCGGGGGCTCGAAGAAAGACCGAGGGGAGGAGGAAGGACGTGGAGAGGAGGCAGGGTAAGGTGAGGAGAGGGAAGAGGGGGGCTGAGGGCCAGGGGATGGCCTCCAGTGACGAAAGAATCCAGGTAAACTCCAGGACTGAGGCCAGGGGAGTCAGCACACCTGTCATTCGTGCCCCTGGGGAGTCCAGCAATGCTGTGCCAGTGATCAATGGCCCCATCAGCATTCCGAAGCCCTGGGACCAGCCTGTGGCGAATCAAACCGTGCTGACGTACACTGTGCCCATCCCCAGTGAGGAGGCTGTCGTCATCAATCAGAGGATCGAGGAGAGGCTCTATCAGCAGGGCTCGGAGGCCAGCAGTGTCTACTTCTACAGGGAACGAGCCAGTCGAGAGGCGTTTGCTCCAGGGGGGGGATTTCCACCTCTCGGGCAGAACTCGGCGGTCAGGGCCGTTCCTGGGGGCAGGAGGGTCTCGGGGGACTCCAGCTTTTCACCGCCGATGAGCGGGCAGTTGACTGAGCTGAGGAGCGCCGCGGCTGCCGGACTGAGGGAGGGGGGCAGGAGGAAGTGCACGATTGTGGGGGATGAGAGGGTTCAGCTTCAGCTGGGGGGCGAACAGGCGGAGGGGACCAACTGCGTCTCCACTATTAAGGAGAACTTTGGGGGCCAGACTCGGTGGAGGAGGAGGAATGAGAATCTTAGGGAACATCACAACTGAAGTTTTGGGGATTTTTTACTGGTGGAAAGGTTTTAATGAGTATATCTCGAAATCTGGGGGGGATAGCGAAATTTTTGGTATTGGCTTTTTTGGGGGGTGAATTGAGCGCTACAAAAAAGGTTATTATGAAAATTTTGATATCTGCCTTTGGTTTAGAGATATTCAGTGAAAAAGGAACAGCGGATTTATTCATTGGCAGTTGGCGATTTCGTTGATATTAATTGTCGATGTTTTTAATGGTAAAATGTTATTGCGAATAATTCTTCTCGTAAAGGAGTTTTTGGGTCTGTTTTCATAAGATTGCAATTTTTTATAATTTTTCATTTGTACCGGAAAATATTCTAAAATGTTGATAATTAACAATTGATATTGATTTAATCAACAGAAAAGGGAGGATTCGTTGACTGTCTTCTAGGGGGAATGATTGCAGTGAAGACTATTGAAATTGTGATATGATAAATTTTATTATTTTTCTATTGTAAGAACTTGGTGACAACTTAAAAGTGTATAAATTGTAAATAACGTTGGAATTGTTATGGAATTCAAGGACATGTATTCCGGAGTAATTAGCTATTTATTATCTGTAAATTTTTGGAACTGAATTGAAGATTGAATAATCGTTAAGCATGTGTTTAAAAAAATTCAAAATACATTCACCTGATTTTACGTAAAATACTTAAACTAGTTGTTATTTAGGACCTTAATTAGTCAATTGATGGTGATAAATTGGATTTTACAACAGAACGGAACTAAAATGTTGATGAATTTAGGGGGAAACTTCGACAAAAATAAAAAACATCACTTCTAATTCTTTTAAAATGGCTTCTGAATGAACGTCTCTTCTGGATTTCCTCGAACGAATGTAATGAGTCGTTTGCTTGTCTTAAAAACCTACAATACACATTAATATTCACAAACGCATGAGATTCGAGGGAAAAGTGACTAGTGTGATGCTTCGAACTGTCACAGAAACGATGGTGAATAATGAATAATAAACGTAAAATTGAAAAAGTAAATTCGAAGGGGAATAAGTCTAGGAATTCGCTTAGAACAATTGCTATGGGTAGGTATTAGTTTTCATTACTGGGGCTTGGCCTTTGTCGTGTGCCAAGTCAACCGATCCTCGTAGTATCTGATGACTACCTGGGGACACATCACGTTGGCTTCCTTCGCTGATACTAAGTCAGTCTCCTCTGAACCTTGCCTGAATGACAAACACGAAAATTAAGTATTAAAATTCGAGAATTGACTTAAAATCCATTCTCAGAGAAGGACAATTGTGAAAATGCACTAGGAATTTATATTTTTTATTCACGAGTAGAGAATTCTTGTTCTGGGGAATAAGAGGCCAGTTAAAAACGTCATACAAATTAATGAATCGTCTCTTTCAAATGAAGTTTGCAAGAAATTCTTCAGTAATTTAAATTTTCAATTATTTTATGAATAATTCATGCAGAGTTGAACTGTGAGAGTTCAATGAGTCAATTTATTGCGAAAAATTGGGTGCATGTGCATAAAAAATGAAGAATGGGAAATGCACAAAAATTTTAGCTTGACAAATGAACCATTCTTCCTTTGAGAATGAAATAATTTCAAGTTTTTATTGAATATTTTCAATGTAGAGGACTAAATAAAGACTGTCGATATATTTAGAATGTTAATGTCATTGAATTGCCAGTAAAATAAGATTTTTCCATGAAAAGAACAATTATTTCTCCTTGTCATGCACTAAGCTGACCTCAATTAATAATTCCTCTTCTTGAATTCTTTTTTTTTTCTAATATTAACAATTAGAAAATGAAATATAGTTGATTTCACTACAAATATCATCTTTCATTAGAATAATTGAACAATACATAGGGGAGGTTGGGGTAAAACGGACACTTTTGACTTTTTTTTAAATGTTAATGAGGGGTTGAAATGTTGATAAAATTCAATATTTTTTTCTTCAATACAAAGAATAATTCTTTCCCTTTCCAAATTGAGCTCAATTGATGAATTTGTTTCTGAGTTATGAATAATTAAAAAAGAGTCTAAAGTGTCCGTTTTACCCCACCCGCTCCTATTTTTCATTCAATCAAAAAAATCCTCGAAAATAAAAAATTCTGCATTTGGAAAAGAATAAGCAATTTCCTCAAGCACCAGAATATTCTCGAATTGAGCATAAAAATCCTCCTTTAACAACCGAAATAACCCCAATCCCAGAGCGAGACGCCTCGCCTCCACTCTCCCCTCACAAAGCCCTCGCCCAACCCCAAACCCCCAAAATTACCATTTCATAAGGAACATGAGTTCTCCACTGGAGTCCGTAGCCCCAATGATTTTCTCCGGCTGAAATCCCTTCTTGAACCCCTTGGGCTTCTCCTCGTCCTTCATAATTCTCTTGGAACTCATCGCCTGCAACAAACGCCCCGGAATTGCATACGTGTTGCAAAAAGCCTCATCAGTACTAAAGAAATCAACTCACGATTATCTCTAGGTTAGATCCGCTGCAAACCGTCAACTCCAGTCACTTCGGATAATTCTAGTCCCTCAGAAACCTCTTCTCATCACGAGAGCCCACAACAGTCTAGTTTATTTCCCCTGATGCCAGTTATAACGAGCCAAACAATAATAATTCATCTACAACAACAATTTATGGCACTTGTTTACGTTTGGAAACGCCATGTTTGATGTTTGATACCATTTCGGAGCGATTTGGACTTCATTTTGAATTTTCCTACCTCGCTCAGTTCCCTCGGAAGTCGCTAGGGGGCCGGCACTTCCGGTCGGGCCAGGGGTTCACGCGCGTTACAAGACGGAGTGCCAATCGATCGTCCTTTCGTTTGCAACGAAATACGTTGAGCAGTCGCGCTTGGCTATTCGTGTCAGTTGCTGTGATTGAGGTTTTTTTACATCTCCAAGCGATATTGGAGATTATTCAGGGGAGCAAGGATGGTAAAAATGGAGCACGAGGTGAGCCACTCGTTATTCAACATTTTTTACTGACTATTTCGGATTTTTTGAGCACAAATCACGGATTAAGTGGTAGGGACGTTGCTCGGGACGTTGTCGAGTCGGCGTCTGCTCGTCACGTGAAATTCTCTTGTGGAAGGAGTGATTATTATGGAGTGCCTAGTTAAATTGATTAATTGATGCCCAAATTAATTGATTAATTAGTTCATCGGGAGAATAGTTGGATTCGCGGGAATTTCGTTGATTTTGCTGGACGTTCTGGAGATTCAGTGGACGGTAGGGGATTGCTCGCGCTTCAGGGGCTGTTGGTTCATATTTTTTAGTTGCATAATTGTTGAGAAGTGTTTAAGGTTGTTGTTCGAGGGTCGGGCGATAATTTCGGTGGAGATTTCTATTTTTGGGGAGTGGAGCGGCGCCCGGCAATGCGGCGAGAAAAATGGCGGCGGTTTTTTAGGGCTCAATGTCGGGAGAAAGTCGAGTTTTTTGGAGTCTTGATTTTTGGAGGTGAGGGAATTGATGGAGTTTGGGTGCTGCTGGGTGATGGCGAGTCGGGGGATTTGGGGGCTGGGGAGAATAACGGGAGACGGTTGGGGCCTAGGCGTACCCAAGCCGCGCCATTTTGAACGACAACTCGGTCTCTCTCTCTTTAACGCTTTAATGAGAGAGACGGAGATGTCGGCGAAGCTTGAAGTCGGATAATTGTTTAGTGAGGGTGAGAATAGACAGTTTGGAGACAATTCGGGAGGGAAGTTTTTGGATTTTGTGGCAGGGATGGTAGCAGAATATTTGAAACTGCTGGTTTCTGCGAGACTTCGTGGAATAACTTGAAAGGTATTTTATAGAGCGAAATTTCGATTCAGATTTCTAGGGCTTCGCAGCAAAACTGGGAATGAAGGCTGTGAATCCAGGAGAAGTTGAAATATTTTAGACGAAAATTTCGGGATAGTGTAATTTTTAACGGAGTTCTGATAAAAATAAATTGGAGACTTGTAGTTGATAAAATTTCAAGCTTCACTAAGTGAGGAAATTCGAAATTTTTGAGCAACAGGAAAATTTTCTGACTTGAATTTTGAATGAAGTGAAATTTCAAGGATATATTTGCCTGATTTTTTCTGATTTCTATGAATTTTCAACGATAATTTCATAGATTAAATAAATAAACTCAAATTTGCAATTTCCATTGACCCTTTCATCAAATTGTGAGTTTGCAAACATCAAATTTCTCGAAATTTCAGAGGAACTGTCACTTGTTAAATAAATCCACGCAGTGTACCGAAAATTACAGCCAAAAATTTTTGACAGCATCAATTGAAAAGAATAAAAATTTCTTTAAATCAAATTTTGAAGATTAAAATATGAAGTAAATTCCATGCGGAAGTTGGTATAAGTAGGGACATTTTGGTTAAGTTTGTGCTCAATCGGCAATCGAGTGTCAGTCAATTTTTTGTCACGAACAATTTACATTTCTGGTTGCCCCGAAATGGCGGATTATATAAAAGTGACCATGCCATGGAGAGCGAAATATTTTCGAGCGTACAGAGTTGACACTGACCGAAAAACTCCAGTCAAAAAAACAAGAGACTGTTGTGTAAACAAATCATTAAAGTGTGAATTCGATGGATTAATTTCCCACATTCAACAATGAATAATTTTTTTTTTTGGAATTTACAATTTGACTCAAGTGCTTTGATCCACCTTTTAGAACAAAAATAAAAAATGTTAATCCACTTCCTCATATTCATCATTAGCACAACTACTTTATCTAATTTACATAATTTCCCCAACTGCAATATTATTATTATTATTCCCTCGATGATGTTGATTAATCCTCTCAGGACTAGTAAAACTTTAACAAAAAATTTCAGTGATGAATAATTATTTTTTTAAGAATTTTCAATTTGACTCAAGTGCTTTGATCCAATTTTTGGAGCAAAAATGAAAAATGTTAATCCACTTCCTCATATTCGTCATTAGCACAACTACTTTATCTAATTTACATAATTTCCCCAACTGCAATATTATTATTATTATTCCCTCGATGATGTTGATTAATCCTCTCAGGACTAGTAAAACTTTAACAAAAAATTTCAGTGATGAATAATTATTTTTTTAAGAATTTTCAATTTGACTCAAGTGCTTTGATCCAATTTTTGGAGCAAAAATGAAAAATGTTAATCCACTTCCTCATATTCGTCATTAGCACAACTACTTTATCTAATTTACATAATTTCCCCAACTGCAATATTATTATTATTATTCCCTCGATGATGTTGATTAATCCTCTCAGGACTAGTAAAACTTTAACAAAAAATTTCAGTGATGAATAATTATTTTTTTAAGAATTTTCAATTTGACTCAAGTGCTTTGATCCAATTTTTGGAGCAAAAATGAAAAATGTTAATCCACTTCCTCATATTCGTCATTAGCACAACTACTTTATCTAATTTACATAATTTCCCCAACTGCAATATTATTATTATTCCCTCAAATGATGTTGATTAATCCTCTGAGGACTAGTAAGACTCCAGTAAAAAATTCCAATGATGAATAATTATTTTTTTGGGAATTTCCAATTTGATTCAAGTGCGTTGATTCAAGTGTTGGACGAAAAAGAAAAATTTCAATTCATTTCCATCATTCACGACGTCATATCTTCAACCGCAATGTCATTGTTATTTACTCGATGATGTTGATTACTCCTCAGGACGGTAAAAATGAACCTGAGCACGTACGCAAGCTCTTCATCGGTGGTTTAGACTACAGAACCACAGATGACTCCCTCAAGAAGCACTTTGAGCAGTGGGGGGAGATCGTCGACGTTGTGGTGATGAAGGACCCGAAGACAAAGCGCTCCAGGGGCTTCGGTTTTATCACGTACTCCCGAGCCCACATGGTGGACGATGCCCAGAACGCCAGGCCCCACCGTGTGGACGGCAGAGTCGTCGAGCCGAAGAGGGCAGTACCCAGACAGGAGATCGGCCGACCCGAGGCTGGAGCCACTGTCAAGAAACTCTTCGTGGGAGGCCTCAAGGACGACCACGAGGAGGAGGACTTGAGACAGTACTTCCAGAGCTATGGCAGCATCAACTCCATCTCAATCGTCACTGATAAGGAGACTGGCAAGAAACGAGGGTTTGGATTCGTCGAGTTCGATGATTACGATCCTGTCGACAAAATTTGCCTGCAGAGGAACCATCAGATTCGGGGGAAACATGTGGACGTTAAAAAGGTAAATTTTTTGTTGGCATTTAGTTCCGAGACTTGTGGACAGTTTTTGGAATTTATTTTTATGAAATTTTCATGGGGAATTGAATTCCAAGTGGAGAACTGAATATCATTGATATTAGACATTTTGGGATAATAATTGTTTTATTGTCGGGGGAAAATTGGAAGGAAAGATTTTTTTGGAAATTTAATTCTTTAAAAAAATGGTCTCGTGATGGTTTCCCTCAATTTCGTGGTTAAAATAATGTTTAGTTCTACTTTTTACGAATCGTATTGACAATTTGATACCTCACTATTAAATTGTTGGAGAATCTTTATTGTTATCATAAAAATGCAAAATATAATTGCATTTTAAAATATTTCAAGAAAAAAATGATCACCTGCAGAACAATAATCATGAAAATGATAATACCATTGTTTCAATCTCAAATGATTTCTTGAAAGGAAATCAAATTTTTTCATTTTCCATAAATATCAAGGGATGTTGGAGAAAAACTATTCGGTCGTCGATATCGACGTGTTTTCAATTATTAGTGTCAAATTTAATGCGGTTAGCTTCTTCATACATAATTGGTTTAGATATTAACGAGACTGAACATTAATCGAGTCACGAGCCTAGTGAAGCTAAAATAATCAGCGAAACGTCGCAAAATGACAATTAGATAAATGTTATTTTCATTTTTCTCCAACACCCTTTGATATTTTTGGATAACTAACAACAATGGAGATGAACCAGAACACGAATTTATTTTTACATTTCATTGTAAAAAAATTTTAAAGACAAAGTTCTCGTGAAATAAAATTGTAATTGGTTTTAGGCGTTGAGCAGGGCAGAGATGGCATCAGCCACCGGTGGTGGTGGTGGTGGAGGTGGTGGTGGCGGTGCCGGTAACCGTGGAGGACAGTCTGGGGGTCGGGGTCCACGGGGTAGTAATCAGGGTGGTAATCAGGGAGGGAATTGGGGTGGGAGAGGAGGTGGTGGTGGGGGTGGTGGTGGTGACTGGAATAACGGTGGTAGTCAGAGTGGTTATGGAGGTGGTAATCAAGGTGGGTGGGGTGGAAATGGACCCTGGGAGAATCAAAATCAAGGCAAGTCATCAGGCGAAATAGGTGAACACGATAATTTATTTACCGAGAAATCGACTGATATTACTCAATTGGTTGTGAATTTTTATTGAAATTTATTTTTCAATTGTTATGGCTTCAGGGGGTGGCTGGGGTGGACAGGGAGGCCAGGGTGGTTACAACTCGGGTGGCAACTGGAGCAATGACAACTTTGGCAGTGGCTATCAGCAGGGATATGGGGGTGGACCAGTGAGGAACAACTTCAACTCTGGAGGAAGGCCAGCACCCTACGGTACTAGTATGGGTCCTAGTGGCCGGCAATCGGGAGACGGAAGATGGATGTCACAATTCGGTGGACAAGGTTGCTCTTAAATCATTCAACAATCGTCTGAATTGGGTTTTTCCATTAATTTGGCATTTTTCAACACTGACTCTCATTGGAGTCCTTTTGTTTTCTTCCATTTCGTGTTTTGCATCGAGATGGTATTGAATTCTACTAAATTCCACGAAATTTTTAATTCACCGTGTGAAATTCGAGGTTTTCCAAGTGCTCAAATACCTATTGAATTTCATACAGTAAATTTAATAAATTTACTATTGGAATTATGCAATGTGTGATGGGTTGGCATATCTCAATTTAGTAGAATTCAATCAGTATATTGTGGAATTAGTAGAGAAAATCTTAAGGCAAAACATCAAATGTGCTTAAAAATAAAGAGATTGGAGAGAATGGTGTGTTGGTGGTGAAGTATGCCATCAATTTTATTTATTGATGAATGTTAAAATTCAATGAAAAATATTAGACTTGCTATTTTTCATTTTGATATGAAAAATTGATAGCGAGTTATGAACGATTGAAAAGTCTGAATTATGCAGATTTTTCAGAATAAAAAATACACATCTGATATATTTCATTCAATTTTTATATTTCGTATCATTGGATAAAATGAATCTATGCAACAACCCAATTTTCGTTGGATGTACCACAAACGCAGATCGTTTAGTCCCTGATGCAAAAATGAACAACTTTAACTTTTAATATTTATAATAAATTCATCCGGGTGTAAACTCAAACATTCGATGAATTTCCAATATTTCATCGACTTCAGACTTCACAAAACAATTTATTTCCTTCCATTAATCCGCTGATTTTAATTAAAAAATTGCTTTGATTAAACGAAATGCGTTTTCTCCCCTTCAAAATAAAAACCCACCTCGTAATTAACATAATCCAGTAGCAAAGTGATTAATATTGAATAATCAATCGAGTTTGAAATCCATTTTCATTCCATATTGATTTTAAAAATCAAATTTATCAGTCAATGTCGAGGAATTGAATCTTTCCTGACATTTTTTCCTTCTATTACTCTTCATCCCTCAAGTGCTGAATTAATCGTGTTGTGTGAGAGCCCCTTTGTCCACTCAATAAATGTAGCAACTATAACAATCCGCATTAACCCACAACAAAAAAATCTGGGCAATTTCAAAAACGAAAAGTACATGCAAATAAATTCATGGATTTTCGTTTCTTCGTGGTTCCAGGACCAATGGGTGGCAACTCTGGAGGCGGCGGTGGTGGTGGCTACGGTGGTGGCAACCAGGGTGGCTACGGAGGTGGTAATATGGGCGGTGGAAACATGGGTGGAGGTGGTGGTGGCGGAAGAAGATACTAAAACAACCCTAAGAACATCCAAAAGACTCTCCCTCGTACGGTGAGTATCACACCTCATCCCCTCTCTCTTCTCCTCAGTCAAATGATTGAAACAATTTTTTTAAAGTACTCATTTTTGGGTGGATTAGAGTCTCAATTCATCACTAAGAAGTGCAAAAATTTATTATTTTCCTCTAGGCAACAAAATTCACAATTTCAATAAATTACTTTATCAATTAGTCTAATCAGGCAGTAGTACGTGAGTTTAGTATCACAGGTGCAGGCACTTGACGTCGAGTAGCAACTCTTAATCGTCATCAATTAATTCAATTAATTAATTTATCAATCAGTTCAGCACAGAATCCCCAAGAGTAGAATAAAATGCCTAAAGGTTCATGATTGTTACAGCATAAAAATTGAATTAAGGTATTTATTGAGGGTAAACGTCAACTAACGTGATTTTGTCAATTTTAAACCTCAGGTGATCCCCTACTACTTGTCTTCTAGTCCGCACAGTAAACAACTGTGCTGTGTTAGTATGAAGGCGGCAGGCAGGGTGTAGAAAATGCAGGACAATGGGCAGGACAATCAGGAGATACAGGAGAAAAAAGTAATGAGACAGTGAAGTAATGCGCAAACGTGAAAATTTTCTGTAGATCGAAGTGAGGGACTAGATGGATTTAAGGATATGACTTTAAGTACTGTGACTTAGGCTCGAGTTATTTCACATGAGGGCACCCCCCAGACTTCATTCGTTACACTTGAGAGATATTTTTAGTTTTATTTTCACTCACGAAGAGGATTTTTATCGGCAAAATGACATGCTTCAAATACATTTCGTACTTTGCAGTGAGATCTTGGCTACGAGAACTAATCCTCACATCGTAATTGCACAGTAACTTATTGAATTCTACTAAATTGAAATGTGCCAACCTAATTGAATATTATATCATTCAAATTTGTTAATGTTTAATTTACTGTACGCACATGGACAAGTGTGAGTTCTAGAAAAAGAAAATTCACCGATTTGGGCACAATAAAGTTAACATTTACAGGTTTGAATCGTGTAGAATGGGGAGTGCAATTTCTGTAGACAAGATCTTGATTCAAAACATTTTGTCAAGATGATTCAGTGTCTCACCTGTCAGGAGTCCCCTCATTTCTTCATACATTTGACGTTTTGCATTGAGATCTTGTCTGCAAATCTGTAATCCTCACATTTTAATTACACAATTTATTTATTGCATTCTACTAAACTGGAATGTGCCAACCCAATTAAACATTATATAATTCAAACGTCTCAATGTTTAATTTGTTGTGTGCAAAAATAGAGAGGTGTAACTTGAGCATTTGGACTTAGCTTTTTTTTTCTTGAATTGCACTTTTAATCATTCACACAATGAGTTCAACATGTGGACATTTGAACTGTATAATGTGGAATTGGATATATTTGTCGTGTATGAGTGTGTGAGGATTGCAATCTCTGCAGGCAAAATCTCAATGCAGAACATTCCAAGAGACTCAATTGTGTGAAGTCATTTTGTCGACGTCAAAGCATGCCCACGAGACATTCGTTCTGTTCAATCTATTGCGAGTCGTTTGCTGCGGAAGATTCACAGGGTCAATGTAAGAATCTGGGTTTTTACCACAAAAATCAATTTTTTTTAAACATGAACAAAAACACTGATGGTAGAATTCGTGAGACGATTCTTATGTGAAGACCAAAGAGATGACGAGCCGTTTCAAAGGGGGAGAGTTGATATAACAATCCTATCTATTTAATACCAAGATTATTCGGGAAAGGGGAATGATAAGTTTTTCCCAATCATTGAGATAAGGAACGAGATAGAATATTTGACAGCATTTCATTGTCGTGGATGTGTTTAGGATAATACCCAATTAATATTTAAGTTGTATAATGTCTTAAGAGGTAGTTTGAATAAACGAAGAAATTTCAACAACAAGTTTATGACCAGAATCTTTTTTCACAGATTTTTTTGAAAGATTTATTTCAATTTTAAGGAGTTTAATGATGTTATGAGCGGCTGTCAAAATCATCGGATTAATTGTGTAGGTCATAGGATTTTCAGTTGGAATTTCAAGGACAACACGTACTGTAGGAGATAGTTTTATTGTCAAGAGGATGACGAGCTGTAGTTGACGTACACGAATTATTGAGGATTATCTGTAATTTCGACGAGTTCTGTGTCGCCTCGATAGGTCAGTCTTGATTATGTGTAAGCACAGTATTAAAAATTAATAATTTGTACATAAAAAAAATCAAAATGATGAAAAAAAACGATAAAACCCTATAACGATTGTAGTTAATTTCTGATAATTTTTTTTGGTGGATTTATGGATGAGGGATGTGTAGAGTGGATTCAGTCATTGGACAGTTGATTGATAGAATTTTTCATTGAGAATTCAGTGAACAATTCTCGTTCGTTTTAATTGAAGATTTTTTTGGTCATCTCTCTCAATTAAATCCACTGAAATTAGCACGAATTTAGATAACTCTGAGGTATTTAACATCGAAGAAGGCGAGGAAGAGAATAGGCGAGAGTATAAGAAAGCATTAACGAGGAAAATGGGAAATTAAGAGCAGGGCAGATAGAGCAAGTGGATATGAAGGATTTCTAGTTCGAAGCCAGAGGAATAAGACTAGAACCTTTTGCCTAGGCCTCACTCTATCGCTTAACCCAATGTCTAGAAAATGTGTGCAGGTAGGAGGTACTTAGATTGATCCATTAAATAGATGTATGAAGATGAGAGTTATCATCGAGAGAACTAATGCATGAGATGCTTCAGTGGTTTATTTACTTTCGTCACTTCACTCTGGTCTAATCACTCCTGATCAGCCACCAGTCTTCATTTTTCATTTCGTTCATTATTCGTTATGTCGAGGAGACGTGTTATTTGAGGCAGTTATCGAGGTTCGGTAGGAGGTGAAGAGAATTTTTCTGTCAGGAAAATTAGAGGGGCCTTCGACTCTGATAAGGACATGTCATTGCCACTCATTAATTTTATTGAAATTATTTTCATTTATCTTTTTTTTTTCATTATCAAGAAGATGTTTACGTTTTTCTTCCTGTATTAATGTGTTGTTCTTTCGTTTTTCATTAATTTTCTGGTTTACCGTGTTGGCCTTCGACACTGCGAGCAAGACGTCGATTCTACCTGAGTAGAGGCTCTCGGCGCGTCATTGTAAGACTGGAGGTAAGTCTATGTGCATATCGGACAATTTGATTATTATCACAACTCCATTTCTCAATGAAGACTTGAAATATAAATTCATAAAACGGGAAGAGTGGTAATTTTAAGGAGTGAAACAGTTGTTGGTCGACACTTGTGTACATTAATAAAGATATTTTTTTTCAGTAATCAAATGTGATTTATTTGATTTATTGGATAAAACCTTTGAAATCCATTCGTTGATCCCTAGTACGATAAAATAAATGTATAGTGGAGATTAAAAAATTGTCTTTGGTTGAGACGTGGGGGGAGATCGTGGGAGGAATAAATTGGTGGGGGGAATTAGACTGGCGAAATTGCGAGGGGTGGATTTTCGGATGTTTCACTGCTGTTGCTGCTGGCATCGCTGCTCTGGTGGGCCTCACTCCTCGTCTCCGTGGGGTCCGGGCGGTAGGGAATGCATGTGTGCGACCCCACTATGGCTCTGCTGCTGTCTTTGTAGAAACATAAGCCGCAGAAGGAGTTGTTGTACACTGGGAAGTTCACGAGGCCACTGGAAACTGCGAAATTCCTGGAAACAGTTCAATGATTCTGTCGATAACGTGGAGTTAATTACAGGATGAAATTAAACGGACAATTTAAAAAGGTTTAATAACGAATTTTCAATAAATTGATCATTTTCCTTCCTTTTATAATTGGAATAATTGTCTTACAGGTGAGTTTTTTTTTCGATGACCTTTTTTTTCGGCTTCCTGGTCTCTATTTTTCATGCAAACACCTTTGCGAATTTTAACACGGATCCACAAATTTTAGCTATTTCATGTAATAATAACCAACTGTCGGTATTTTGCCGACCAGCGCTAAGGACCCCTCAAAATTGTAATTTATTTCTAAAAAAAACCGGAGAATTTTCTAGAAAAATCTGGAATTTGGTAAAAAAAAGTCCATAATTTTCTAGAAAAATCCAGAATTTTTTAGAATTCCGATAGATGTCGCCACTGCCGATAAGGAACCATAAGGACTTTTTCCTAAATGAATTCACGGCTCAAAGTTTTCGGAATTCAGCAAGTGGATCATGTGATATTGGAAAATCAGTAAACCACACTCAATCAATAAGTAAAATAATACCACTGATTTCATAGAATCACACGAGCGAAAAAAATTATTAAAATAATTGAATAAATTCATTCGCTCGTTTTCCCTGCGCTACAGGAATTTTTTTAGGCCGGAGGTCTCTCAAATTTTCATTCCATCGTATTCATGCGTTTATTTATTTCGTCCTGGCAACTTTATAAAGTTGCTGCAAGCCTCGAGAGATTTTTAAAAACGTAGTTCTCTCCTCTCATCTCTGATTGTCCATTCGCGTGCCAGAAAATGATCTCTCCTTTGATTCACCTCTTTAGCGGCTATTAGAGGCTTTCTTACAATCCGCACAATCTTTAAGACGGTTCTTACGCGGGATGAATAAAAGGGATGATTCAATTACAGAACAGAGCAAACCCTAATCGTTTTATCATGGACTGAAAATGGATGGGTGGAGTTGAGTCATTAGAGTGAAAAACATGTGGCAGTTCTCGTGGATTAGTCTCCTCCCCTCTTCCATTGGAGGAAGTCATTATCCTGTCATGTTTCGGATATTCCGGAGAATATTAATTGCTTGTCTCGTGGAAAATGATGCATTCAATAGTTCAATTTATGGGAATCTGTAGATCGAAAATGGGAAAATTCAAAGAGTTAAAATCATTATCTAGATCATGAATTTCCATGTGTTTTTGTGAAGTCATCCGATGTCAATGCAAAATTTTTTATCTGTGCGAAATTATTTGTTTCTTGACTCTTCTAGACAGTTGACAAAGATATTCAATAAATGAATAAATTAATGCAGAAATAGAGAGAGGGATAAATGCAAGAAAAACTGGAGAATTTTATTGAAAATTCTGTTTTTATATCTAATTCGTTAGGAAATTATAACGAAAAAATAGAAATATTATAGAATATTCAATACAAGTTTTTCCATTGAGACATTTTGTACAGGAAATCCTCGACATGAATTTCCCAAATTTTTTTCACTTCATTTTTCTTTTTTTTCAAAAAAAAAATAGAAAAATTTGGGCCGATGAATTTTTATTGAAAATATCTCAGTAACTTACATAAAAATGGAATTCTATTGTTTTTTTCAATATATTAAACATGGAACATTTCTATTTTAAAAAAACGCGCAGAACTAATGGAAAATTCAGTAGAAATCCAATAGAATTTTCTAGAGAATTCGCAGAATTTTCCTTTCGGGAAGAACTTCAACTGAAGCGTTTGAGGACTCAATTCGTTAACAATAGCCCTGACCACGCGTGTAATCCCACTTAAGGCTATTTATCGGTGTATCGCGTACCCACGAATAGGATTCATCTTGTCGACTGTATCCAATGGCAGTTTATACACCTGATACAAATAATGGAGGGAGAGAACACTTGTCGAGATGGTAAACTTTTGGATAAACGCATTCCGTGTTATTGCACACGATTTGACGTGAACGAGGGAGAGAAAATGGGAATTATGAAGGGGAGAGACTGGATACAATTGATTTTCAGCAGGCGATATTCCCACGGGATTCTTGTCAGGTTTAATGTGTTGTCTTTTGCTTTTCGGAATTGTTATTTCTGGGATGAAGCGAGGAAATCGACAATCAGCCCTTACTTATTTCGATTAATTCGATAAACAAAATTTCGGGGACTCGATTGATTTCGCGCCCAGTTTTTTGGGAATATCTTTGAATCCGAAGGAGATAGCGACAACATCGTTACGACCTTTTTTGTAGCTGAGAAAATTTCCGACAAAAAATTCCTTGGGGAATTTTCTCCTAAAACCAACCGTTATCGAGATAATTTGATGTTAACGAAACGAATGGGTTGAATTTTACCTGTATTGCTGGTCCAACTGCGCTTTCTCGATCCGTTTGTCCTTGGCTCTTCGATTTTGAAACCAGATTTTTATCTGGGTCTCGGTGAGCCTCAACGATGACGCCAATTCGAACCTTCGACCTCGCGAGATGTATTCGCCCCTGTGGTACTCGAATTCTAGTCTCGCTGTTTGTTCACCGGAGAATGTTGTTCTCTGTCTTCTGGGCTTTCCCTCTCTTCTTCTTCTTCTTGCGACTGTTTACGAAGAATTTTCATCATGATTTAATAATTAACATATAATTATGTATTGTTTGCATCCTAATCTTCATATTTTTAATTTTTTTAATTAAAAAAATTATTGTTTCAATAGTTTCCCATTTTTTGAGAGATCCCGCAATAAATTATCCGCTTGTAGATGAAATAATCATTACGCCATCATCAATCAAAAAGGATTCTAACAGACCTCAGTAAAACAGCTGAAATGTGGAGAAAACTTTGTGTCATGAATTCTCAGTCAAAAGGGGATGAAAAAATCTGAAAGATGGCTTAAAAAATTTGTTCCGTTTGCAGGAACTGAATGTAACGAATGGAGAGTGATCCGAAGACCATCAATAATTATTAAAAATGTTTAAAAAGCCGAGGTGGGAGCGCCGCCATCTTGAAAGCGCCTTGCGGCAGAAGAAGGGGGAATCCCCCAAGATGGCGGAAAATTAGTCATCCATTTTAGATCATGTTTTAAACAAATAAAACAAATATTTCAACCGATCAAATTTTCATTTTACGAAAATTCAATTGTTCCCAGAGTTTTAATTTTCTTGTGTTCCGTGGAATAAAAAAATGGTATTTTCAATTAACGTCCCGGTTTTTGTAATAAATTATTCCCGATGATGGCTCCACATGGGGAATCAACATAATGACGATGAAATAATCATCATGCCATCATCAATCAAAATAGTCTCAATATTATTCAATCGAATTAGTATAAATGGAAATGCGGAACAAACAATTTTATTTGAATTGAGGTATCATCAGGATCAATTTAATTTCCCTCTCGACCACAAACATTTATATGACATTTAAAACACGTTAAAACGAGTGGAATATGTGGGTTTGTGCGAAATCCTTTCATTGTACTATGAAAACTGTAATCCGATCAAATTCGACGGACAGTTGTCGACCCAACGAGCGTACAGAGGGACTCGTCCATCGAAACGAGAATCGGTGTGACGAATATGATACAAGTGTAAAAAATTTATGGACCCGGAGTGTGGGATTCACTCAACCATATTCTGTTTTTTTTATTTTACATTACAAAAAACACTTGTTATCCTCTTATTTTTCGAGAAATCAGTAGAAATATTTTTTTGTTAATTTCTAGTGCATTCAGCGGATGGAATAATTCCCGGAAAATGGGATTAAATACTGGGTAAAGAATAGGGTAAATAAATAAATGAATAAAAAAGGGGGGAACTAGTGATTAATTAAAATTTCCGAAGCCCGAAAATTTGTGGAGAATTGTACACGTGTTGCGGTGTAATTTTTTTCTCACAGTATTCTATTTTCCACAAACACCTGGATGGAGCTGTACAAAGGGGAGATGGAGGACTCAGTGAATCTCACCCTCGATTGAGCGATTGCCCCGAGGATAATTGGATGAGAATGGGAATCATTCATTAGACAGACAACTGACATGTTTATTAAGGGATAAGAGACTCCGACAAAAATTATGTCGGAGGAAAAAATTGAGAGAAAGTGGGTGAAAAAACTCGAGTAATCGTGAATGAAAAAAAATCAATGGAAAAATCTGGCGCTTTTTCTTGAGATTTCTGTTTAATTTATCGGAATTCTATAAAAACTTTGTTAATATTCCATCAAGAGATGAAGTTTCGACATTTTCTGCGTCCAGAGGAGTCATTTTTCTACTGAGAAACATTTTTTATTGAATTATATGGAAATTGCTGCCATTTTTTTCCACATGAAACGGAATTTATTTCAAAAATGTCATTTTGATGTGCGAAAATATAAAAAATTGGACTATTCACGCACGAAAAAACTTTACAGAAAATCTGTTGCATTTGTATTGAAAATTCTATTAGTTTCTGGCCGATTCTATTGAATAAATTTCCTCGCTTTTTTTCTTATTTGAAAAAAAAGAATTAACAATTGGAAAATTCAAGTCAAGGAATTTCTACTGGAAACATCTCAATGAACAAATGGAATACAATTGATTTTTTCTGTGGAGAATCACATGTGCGACATGAATAAAAAAAATATGCATTAAATAATTAATAATGTATATTCTCACATAATTTGTGTCAATACCATTTCCTTTGAGGCTTTATAAAATGCAATTTTTCGGAAGCCAATTCACATGTCCACCGATAAATAACCAACCCGAAGCCCTTGTTTACGATTCCTCAATAAAGAAGTGATAGAGATTGATTCAGTTTACATCCTGTCAATGTTGGCACGCATCGGGGGACAATTAGTATCCGATTACGCATTTCGCGTTGGGTTGTAACGAGATTACCCGAAGCCTCGTGCCTATGTCCCACAACTTCCGGCTATCGTTTTGCCCCGCATCCTAATTACCGAGGCTCGAGGTGGTTCTTTATTTTTAAACTGTAGGTGGATACGGGGACGATTGAATTACTCGCTCACAAATTTCAGGCACAGATTTTTTTTCAGCGCGGGGAAAAAAGTTGGGGAACAATTACCAAATAAGTGAAGTAATGGTGAAGCGAAATGCATTTCTAGGTCTTTCCCCCGATTATTTTAATATTTGATTGCGTGAGAAAATTTAGAAGAATTAATGAACAGTGATTAAAAATAATAGTAAAAAAAAATTTAATATTTTCTTGTTATAAATGAATGAAGGAAAGTGGTTATGAACTGTTTATTCAAAAATCATAATTTTGGAAATTGCAATTCCTCAATTATTTATTTCAAAAATTATTTTATTTTTTTTAATTACATAATTGAGGGATTGAATTAAATAACTGAGGAATTAATTGAGGAATAAAATGTATATTAGTTGCAAAACATTCATTAAGTAATTGTAAAAAAAAATTAATTAAATTTTTTTTTTATTTATACGTCTCTTTGGCATTACAAATATTTTCTTTGTTTGTTTTACGCCTATGCATGCCTCCTCAATTATATAAAATTTCTTATAAATCTATATTTCAATTTTATTTCAACTCTGTTTTAATTAATTAAGATTTAATATCACTTTAGTCCTCCCCTTTTTTTTCTGCTCTCATTATTACACCGGGAAGAAAGAAAATGTAAATTATTTCCATAGAATAGAAATCGACAAATAAGAATTTTTGAAAATCATTTTCCCCACTGTTTTTCACCCTTCGCGCTGTGCGGAAAAAATATGATAATGAAACAGGCAGTTAATTTCCCGTCTAATCGTCCCCAAGTATCTGGGAAAATCTCTCACTGTTGCATTTTGAGGAGCTTAACAATCGCGTTGACTGTCATCGTGAGGGTGTTTGCGGTAGTTTTGCTGTGTGAGTTTCAAGTGGATACGGCAAAATAGAGGCTGAGGGTTGGGGAGGTAGCCGCGGAGTGAGGGATGGTTTGTGATTTCGACATTGAGACGCGGCCAACTGTACCCTCGTAATCTCATCACAATATCGCCGTGAGGTGGCGAGGCGGGATAAACCCCGCAACACTGGCGCGACTCGCGTGTCTAAGCGAGCGTGCGTAACATTTATTTAGTAACAATGGGCGGGGAGGGGGAGCAGCGAGTTTGAATAAACATTTTTCGGGGAAAAATTGGGGGGAATGAGAGGGAAGAATTAGAGAAATAATTACGAGGAGGATCGTTATCAGCTTCTGTCTGCAAAAGAGGAAAGGTTCGCGACGTTGTCTCGCATCGAAGTATATCGAGACCGCTAATCCTCAATTCTGATTGGGCAGGCAGTCGCGTGAAGTTAGACGACGAAAACTTTCATTATTTTCATCGCATCTTCAAACTCTTTGAACTCACAAAAAAATTTTGGGGTTGTTTTTGGCGCGAAATTGATCAATTCTGCATTCTTGGATTTTTATTCGTCATGTGCTTTCATGAATCTCATTAATTTCAATTTGTTCGGCGTAAATTCAGCAGCGAAGTGGTGAAACGGTACAAGTCAATTTTCACTATTGACCGGTTTTCAATTAATATCTCGGAATCTAAGGGAGATAGCAAAATTTTTATTATGACCTTTTTTGTAGAGCCGATTGAGAACTACAACAAATGTAATTATGAAAATTTCGCTATCTCCCTTGGATTCGGAAATATTCCTCAAAAACTCAACTGGGAGATAAGTCGACTTAAACCGTTTTACCACTTCGCTACTGAATTTCATTCCCTTCCATTTCTTAACTTGGATAGAGTCTTTAAGCTCTAAAAAGCCGAGGAAATTCCCCGGTTAATTGAAAAATTCTAGGGAAATGTCTGTTTTTTTTCATGAAAAAAAAATAGAAAATTATTCTGTTTCCTAGAAAATTCGTGGATTTTCTGAATAGTTCAAAAAAATTGTTCACCTTTCGGTAATTTCTCCGAGTAGAGGAGTCTCGTTATCACTCTAGCGACGAAAATATTCAAATGATGAGTACTTGAATTATTTAGGCGTCTGGAAACGAGTAATAGGATTGCGTATTCCTCCGAACTTCCTCGCGAGAATATCCTCAAAGCGATTTCGAGGATAAGTCGAAGGCTTGACCATCTTCCTCGGACGTTTATCTGGACGGGTTTGATATTCCCGTGAGGATAAGAAGATTATCTCAAATATTGGGAAGATGCGGGACTTTCCTACATTTTCATCAGAATTTTTATTCGATTGTAGAAAGAAAACTCCGCGATATGGTGATTTTTTATTTGTTATTTTCTCTTCGTTCTTTACGTCAATTCTATTAAAATTATACAACCTCCCCTCACGTTTTGAATTAGATATTTGTTTATAGAAAAATGTCTGTAGATGTTGATTTTTCTACATAATTTATTCTCTCGGAATTTTTCCTATAAGAATTCTTGGGAAGATTTTTATATATTTTTTTCTTGGATTTTATTATGAGAAACGAATAAAAATACAGCGCAAAAAATTATACCTAGTAATTTTCATTAAAAAATCAAAATCTATTCCTTTTTTTTATCAAATATTTTTTACCAAATGACACAAATTTAAAAAATTGCATAATCTCTTATAGAAATGGCGCAAAAAACGACTGCAATTTTTCCACATAATTCCAATAAAAATAAAAATTCCTCAGTGACGCGTTATTTTTTCTCTTAAATTTTCAATTTATTAAACCCCCAAAATAAAAACAAAACAAAATGAAAAAAAAACTTTTCTTGGATTTTATTAAATATTTTTTACCACAAATTAAAAAATCCCATAATCTCCTACAGAACCGGCGCAAAAGCAGCTACAATTTTTCCACATAATTCCAATAAAAATAAAAATTCCTCAGAGAAGCGCAATTTTTTCCGTTAAATTTACAATTTATCAAACCCCCAAAACAAACCAAAACAAACTTTGAAAAAATCTCTTACGAAATGCTGCGGAGAATCCATGAAAGTGTTCAACGGCCGGATGTCCCGCGATTCCATGGAGATGAGGTGGCAGAGCAACCGGATGACCGGTATGCGCCAGGTGAAGGGGAGGTCCGCCACTTCCGGGGAAAAACCCGTGTGGCAGGAAGGGTAGGCCGATGCTGTCGGCCCTGAGTGATTTGCCGTCCTCCCTCTTGTCGTCATCCCCGAGGCTCTTCTTCTCCTGGGACTCGTCCCGACGCCTCTCCACCGAGAGATCCTCAGGGCTCTTGTCGTCGACGCTCTTCCCCTTTCCCAGCTTCTGAACCTCCTCCTTGGTCTCCAAGTGTCCGTACAAACGCGCGAAAAATCTCCTGGGGGACGAGGGTCGAGGATTGGCCTTTGTCGTCGACATTTTTACGCCCTGAGGTAATTAATTACGAGGGGCAATCGGTGGGAATGATTTTCCGACGCTCCCACAAGGTCTCTCTGTTCACAACTGATTCAACTCCAACTTCTCAACTTCTCACATTCTCTAGGTATATCGTTTCTTCCAGCACGTCATCAAATTCCACGTTTCGCACTCGTTAAGAATTCTCTTTTTTCACTCGGAATATAACTTAATCATATCGGGTGTCAAGTCATTAAAATTTTAAATCGTTTATCATCACTTTGTTCATTATTCCGGATTTTTTATCGGGGATTATTTTGTTTAATCGTCGCTGGGGATTTGGGGGAGAGTTTGTTCGGGAGACGAGGGATTTTTCATTGGTTTTTTAGTTGTTGTTTTAGCAGAAGTTGTTGCTCGTTTTTGGGGATTTTTTTCCGCGGTTTGTTGTGGTTTTTGGGGAGCTGGGGATGCGGTGCGCACGGAAGGAAAGTTCAACGGGCATCTGAATCCGGGTGGATCGACGCTCGTTCGCTCACCTCGTGGCTTGGAAATCAGACGAGGGAGGGGGTTTACCCTGTCCACTCATTCTCCCCCGATTGTTTTATAGGGATCATTTTTTAGTAGGCAATTTAATTGAATCTTAACAAAATTAACTAAAAATATAATAATTGACTGAAAATTCAAGAATATATTTCATTGTTATTAATATTGGGGCTGAGTTCACGTTTATTTGAATTCAAAAAGTTACTAGCATGTACCGAGGTGAATAACAAACACTTTGCAGATCTATTAAATTTTTCTACAAAAAATGAGTGAAGTTTGTAGATTTCTAATTGAAAAAAAAATTAAATCTTTATAATAACTTTTTTATGACGTTAAATAAATACTTAAATTCCTCCTAAATATTTTTTCAAACATTCTCTGCACCTCAAAATGTTCGAGCATTCCATCTGTAATTGAAGGAAACTATTTCCTCTGAATCGAATTATTTCGGTAATTTTGGCAATTCTAGAGGATAAGAAGGAGGCGAAATTACAGAAGAAAAATTTGAATGTAAAGATCCCTTTTTTAATATTGGGGCAGAGTTCACGGTTATCTGAGCGCAAAGCAATCTGCGGTCATTCATTTCCTCCAATTGCAGATGGGGCTATCCCTCAGCAAATAAAAGAAGCCTCTCTCACTCTGATTTCCCCCAAATACCCAATCCCAAAAAATTCCAGCCGGACTTGCCAGAGGAATTGCCAATAACACCGCACCTGATACCGCCCATCAAATGATCCTGCACATATACTTATAATAATTATAATTACTGGAGCCATTGCGTCGATATCGTGGTAGCGGCGACAATGCGAGAATTAAATCGCATTATATCGACAACTAATGGCATTCGGTGAAACAAGGGAGTTAAATGTAAATCCGAGGCTGCATGCGGGAAGACGGAGAAGATGCAGTCGTCGCCGCGTTTTCAGAGGCGCATGTCAACTGTCCACAGCATCCCAATTGGCTCCTGCTAATTATATCGCTTTCTCGATGCACAACGATTGGCCATGGACATCTGGGATACTCCCACTTCGGCAGACAACATGTTGCCCCATTAATTGCAAAAAATGGGGAGAGATATTATGAGAGGATAATAAGTCCTGGAGGGAATAATAATCAGGGGATTTACTTCTTCTCCTTCTCGCGTAGGAAAAAAATCCAGAGAAAAACAGATGCGCTGGAAAATTGTGCTGGAGTTATAGAGAAATTTTTATTAATTGTTGGCGGATTCCCGGGAAACATTCCGCAGGGATGCGGGTTTTTTTTGGAGAGAATTGTTCGGCGGAAAATATTCTAGGGAAAATGATGGAATCGGATTTTTTTTAGATAACTTATTCTGTGGGAATGTTTTTTAAAGACATGTATCGATTCATTTTTTTTAGTTTTGTGAATTTTTTGGAGAAGAATAAAATGAAGAAAACTTGGAGAAATCATGACGAAGAGTTTCTGCAGAGAATTTCTTAATAGAAAGAGTTAAACCAAATGATGTGGTTGAACCAAATAAAAATATATCATATTTGTTTATTCATTTCAGTGACAATGTTCAACGGAAAATAATCTATAGAAAAAATTGATAGAATTGGATATTTCTAGAAAATTAATTCTATTGAGATATTTTCTATAGAAATTCCTCAGCTTTCATGTTCCGAGAAAAATAAAGTGAAAAAAACTTTGGAAAATAAATAAAATAGAAACAGAATAACAGAACAATAGAAAAAATTGTACAGGCAATTAAAATTCTACTGATATTTTTATAAAGCAGTTCCTATTGGACATTTTCTTTAAAAAAACGCGGAGTAAAACAGCGGAAAAAAACTCGGGAATGTGGAATTGTCGAGACTGCAGCCGATGAATAAATAAATGACAGTCTGACGTGACAATTCATCTGACATGCGGCCAAAAAACACAACCTAATTTTCTCAATAACAAAATTTTCTGAGAGGACTCCCCGGGATCGTTTCCAATGAATTCGGGTGAGGGGGAGCATCTCCTGACCCTCGAAGAAGTCGACAGGACTTCGAAGAACCGCTGGGTGGCCCTGGGGCTCTTCTGCGCGTTGAACTGCACCCAGTGCTATGTGTGGAACACCTGGGGACCCATCGCCGAGACCGTGATGAGGGCTTTCCCGTCCTGGCACAAGAGCTCCGTCGCACTTCTGTCGGACTGGGGGTGCATCACGTATTTGACTTGTTGTCTGCCCATTTGCTGGGTTTTGAATACATCGCGTGAGGATTTAAAAATTTACTGTTTGCGATACTATTTCCGTTATTTTTGCTATTCCAGTGCAATTATATATCTGTCATTTGTATGATTCACGCGATATTTACAGTTGAAATCATCATATTCGTCAATTAAATTGCGTGAGAAAATTTTGAGAATATTTTTTTTTTAATATGCATTTTTCATTAAAGAATGAAGCAAAATATCTGGATTTTTACAAACTCAATTTTTTAATCACAGAATAAATTCCTGGGAACTTTCTGAATTTAAATAAAATTTTAAAAAATTGAACAAACAAAATGGACAGAATTGAAATGAATTCAATTCAATTTAGAGGGAGAAAGCGTATGAAATTACGGATTTCAGTAGAAATTCAATGGAATAAATTTAAATGTCGACATTATTTCGATTATTTTTATTATTTAGACATCACATATTATTTTGCACATGTTTTCTGAACATAATGACATATTATGTATTGCAATCATTAAATTTTCTAATCAAATTTCGTGAAAAAATTGAAAAAAAATCTCAGATAATTAAAATTGTTTAAACTTTTGTAAAAAGTCCTTGTTAAATATTCTCTTCTCATAAATAAATCGCGCAAATTGTTTAAATCATTAGAAATATAATTTTTTTATAACGGAATTAATTTTTGTAAACAGTCCGAATAAAAAAAATCTTTACGAATTAAAAAAAAATTGAATTCCTGCTTTTTCCACTAGTTTTAGCCGCCCCAATAAAAATAGCCGCAGTTCTATCGACACTCGCGACCTTCATCCGATGCATTTCCTCACAAGAATCGATCTTCACCACGTAGGTGCGACTTTCGCAATTAATTCTTGAAAATGTGATTGAAAAAATCGGTTTTCTGTGGGCAGAACTGCGCACTTGGCGGCGATTCTCAACGGTCTCTCTGGGGTGATCATCGGGCCTTCGACGGCGCTCATTTCCGCCGTGTACTTTCCCACTGGGGAGAGAACCACCGCCACCGGAATTTCCGCGGCATTCAACCAATTCGGAATGGCACTTTCGTATCTCCTGGGGCCTGCGGTCGTCAGTAAAACCGAAGATTTTCATTCTAATTCGACGGTTGACGGTGCAACTCTCAGGGTGCAGATCATGTCTCTCATGCGCATTGGTAATTTTTAAAATTAATGATAAAAAAAAATTGGTGAAGATAAAATTGACGAGTTAGCGTTTTTTTTTTGGAAAATTCTAGTGAATTTTTAGAGGAAATTCCACTGCGTCATTTTTTTTCCAATTTGTGGAATTTTCTTGCTTTTGCGCGATTGTTTAGTCAATATTCAATTAGATTCTGTTCAATGATTAGAAAATTGTAACAGATTTTTAGTTTTATAGATGAGTCATTTATTTATATTTTTATCGCTAAAAATTCTTGGAACTTAATTTTTCCAGTTTTTTGTGACACATTTTAAAATATGTTTTTGATATATTTGAAATGATTTTATTTTACATTATTTTTCATTGATGACGATTCATTGATGAAGATTTCCCACATTTTTTAATGTGATTCTCACATTTTCACTGAAATGAAATTTATTAAAATGTTTCTATTGAAGAAAAACTGCGATAAGCTGCGGAATTTTTCCATGGAATCGACGAAAAATTGATGAAAAATAAAAATAATTTTTTAGTGAACTCATTAGGTTTTTTCTACAATTTTTTTCGCACCTTTTTATTCCTTAAAATTTCAGAATTCGTCACACAACTGCTTGTATCAGTGGGAATTCTCTGTTTCTTCCCAAACGAAGAAGACAGCTCAGCTGGTAATGCAGAATCACAAAAACTGGGAGTTTTCGAGTCGCTGGAGAGACTCGTCAGGTGAGTAATCAATTTCTGTTGATTTTGGGGGAGAGATAACGTATCGATCGCGGATTAAATCATTAATATTGCGTGGGGATGGGCGTGCGCCTTGAAACCACGTATTGCGGTAAAAATTAGCAAGTCCCTTTGGCGCAGAGGATAGCGCGTTGGACTTCTAATCCAAAGGTCGTGGGTTCGATCCCCACAAGGGATGATTTATTTTTTATTTTCGTTTTATCATTGAATGACTTTCTAGAGCATCACTTGGGCGTTCTTCGGTCATTGGGGAGGGATTACCTTCGGTTTTCGGGGTTTATCCACGAAAAGTTGACATTATTCAAATATTCACCTCATGAACATGAGACTTGAGCTTATTTTGATGATTGAAATTCAGATTTTTTTTTATATTTGCAAAAAAAAAAAGAAAATGCAAATTTTTTTATTTATTAACATTTTGTTGTTTTTTAATTGTTTTGCGACTTTTCAAATTTTTATATATGAAACACAACGGAATAATCTATCGGAATATCTCTCTCAATCAGATTTATGAAAATGTAAAGAGATTTTTTTTTATTCATTTATTTATGAAAATGTGAAGAGAATTTTTTATTGTTGAATTCTAGGCACAAAAGTATGTGGTGCCTGTGTCTGGCTGCAGCACTCAGTCAAGGAGGCACTGGACCCTGGCTGGCTATGATCACTATAGCCTTTGGGAATATCATATCTCAAGTATTTTCATTTCAGTAATAAAACGATGGAACATACTGTTAAAAAAAATTAGGTGAAATTTTAATGGCTTAGTTATTTGGAATTCGCAATTTAAGGAAAAAATCAATGGAAATTGTAAAGAAATCGGAAGAATTCAGGCAAACATATTCTTGAATTGTTAATTAATTGAATATGTAGCGTAATTTGACCCTAAACATTCACGTATTTATTGAAAAATTTTCAATTCCATTGAATTTTCAGTAAAATCAGAAGTACAATCATTTCTTCCTTTTAATTTTCCCATGAAATTTGAATTCTTTTTTTTACTCGAATTCTACTCATTAATTTTACCTCCAAAATCAGTTTTTGGGAAGAATATTCCCGAAACGAAAAGAGAAAGCAACATTTTGTGAAAACGCTTTTTATTTCAACAAAAAAAATAATTAAAAAAATATTGATAAAAATATTCAGCAAAAAATTTCATGTTCTCAAATGAAAGTAACTTTCGTTCGATTATAATGCTAAATTAATTCAATCACGCACTCACGTAATTGCGGAATGAACAGAGCGAGGCGGACAAGTTGGCCTTTTGGACGGTAGTGGGCAGTAGCATTCTCAGTCTGGTCATCTCCCGAATTATGGACATCTTCCAGGGCCACTTGAAGCTCGCGATTTACACCCTCCTCATGACCTCCTCAGCCATGTTCCTGTGGGTGATTCTCCTGGACTACAAGATCCTCGTCTTCCATAAGAACGAATTGTACGCCGCGGTTATACTCGGCATCTCCCTGAGCTGGTCCTCTCCCGCGTTATTCCTCGAGCTCGCCTCCGAGATCGCGCACCCCGTTTCGGAGGCCATCGTCGGAGGGTACATGATCTTTCTGTCGAATATCATCGGGACTTTGTTCTATCTTTCGTATTTCGTGCCTGGATTAGGTGAGGAATGCAGTTAGTGGGGAATTTAATTAATTTTTCTACTTTGATAGAAATTTTCTGCAAAAAATATTTCAGAGATCAATAGATTCTGATCTGTGTACAGTATATTTAACTGAAATTTAAATTCTCCTATTTTTGTCACATTTTTTTCCTTTTCACAAAAAAATTCAAGCAGACACTTTGAAAATTTCAGCCCAAGAATTTTTATAACAACGGAATAATTCGTATAGAAAGATCAAATTTTATTGACTTTTTTAATAAAATACTTCTTATTGAACATTTCATCGCAAAAAAGTATTTGAAAAACTGAATTCGTAAATCGTTTCTCTCTTGGAATTCCTCGACTTAAATTCCCGATTTTTGTCATATTTTTTCCATTTCATAAAAAATTCAAGCAAAGACACTTCAAAAATTCCAACCGAAGAATTTTTATAACAACGGAATAATTCGTATGGAAAGATCAATCTTTTCGACTTTTTTAATGAAATATTTTCCATTGAACATTTCTTCGCAAAAAAGTATTTGAAAAACTGACAGAATTTTTTTATCTAATAAATCTTTTCGCACGTCTTTGTTAAAAAATTCATAAATCGTTTCTATAACGAGAAAAAAAATTATAATTCCATATTTAACATAGTAAAAAGATAAAGCGTTACATTTGCAGGTGACAAATGGTCGAGTTGCATTGTTCTCGGGAATTTAACCTTAGCCACAGTGCTAGTTGCCTACGTAAAAGACGAATATAATCGTTCAAAGTTCGAGTGAAGACAAGCAATCCATAATTTCCCCCGGAACACCTGGGGAACACCTCTAATATAATATCAGATAATATTGTCGACGTTTTCCTTCGAGTCAAATTGTTTCCTCCACTTCTGAGCGACATCTGCACTCGCGTGCGAACAACACTTTCGATGTTTGGGAATCGCACATGCTCGAGGGGCCGGTTAACCTCACTTCCATGCTGGTCAAGTGTATCGTAAATAAACTGAGAATTCCACTCCGAAAAATGAGTATTTTCACTCAGAGTTTTGATCCTATTACCGGATGTGCAATATGGGAGGAAAAGGACCCGGATTACGATTACCATCAAGAAGTAGCACGATCAGCGTTTGCTGACATGCTCCACGATCATGAGAGAGTGAGTGCTCCATTTCATTTGTTTTTATTTCGTGAAGGTGAAGTCCAACAGGACCCGGTCAATTACAGGATCAAATTAAATACAGATAAAGTAGGGAAGGGGGGGGGGGTAAAATGGACACTTGAGACTTTTTACAAATAATTTATAACTCAGAAACAAATTTATGAATTGAGCTCAGTTTAGGCTCGTCACAAAGGGAAAGAATTGCTCTTCGTACTGAAAAAAAAATGATTAAATTTCATCAACATTTTAACCCCTCATTAATATTTTTAAAAAAGTCAAAAGTGTCCGTTTTACCCCACCCTCCCCTATAATAACGAAATTAATAATATGCACAGTTTAACATAATTCTCTTGACGAAAGCGTTTTTTACATTTCTTATTTTGTGACTGACATGTGCTGCTCCAAATGCTTGTGTTGTTGCTGGGCTTTTTGCAATTTTTAATTAATTAATTAGAGTATATTGTGACTGTGAATAGTAATAATAAAATAGTATTGTTTATACCCTTCCAAGACCCCAGTATTTATCCTATTATTATTTATTTTATAAAACTTGTTAGATCATCTATTCTATCTAAATGAATTTATCATATAATGTATTATAAATTAATTAATTTAAAAAAATGTTCATTGCATTATAGTTGTTTTAGATCAGTTTTGCGTTGTTTTCTTCATTTTGTGGGCTTTAAGATTCCTTATATTGCATAAAATTTGTAGCCTACGAGGTCTTTTACATTCCCACCGGTTAAATATTAACTAGGACTGAACTTAATTTTTAACAGTCTAATAATATAATTAAAAAATTTGAAAGACTAAATCTTTTAATGTTTTTTTAAAGAGTAATTTTTAAATTTTAATTCTTTCATCTTAATCTTGTAAAGAGTAAAATAGAGGAATTGAAATTTAAAATTTAACAGCAAATTAAAAAAAAAAAAAATTAATTAAATATTTAATTTAATTTAATTTAAAATTTAATGTTTAAAAGATATTAAAATAGAAGAATTCTTGGCAATTAACAAAATTCGTTCATAAAACAATAAATGAATAAATGAATGATTTTTCCCCTTTAACGATCCTCAGAATCAAAAGTACTACGACGCCCTGCAAATCGCGATAGAAACAAAGCTCAGACAGGGCCAGCAGGCGCACGTCCTGGATATAGGAACAGGTACAGGCCTCCTCTCGATGATGGCAGCCAGGTGTGGAGCAGACTCCATAACCGCTTGTGAGGCCTTCAAACCGATGGCCAAGTGCGCCCTCGAGATAATAAAGCACAACGGTTTCGACTCCAAGATCACCCTCATAAAGAAACGCTCCACCGAGATGACAGTGGGGGAGACAGGGGACATGAGGCATCGAGCCAACATCCTCGTGACCGAGGTCTTCGACACAGAACTCATCGGAGAAGGTGGTGAAATCGATTATTCAACTGAAAATACTCCACTCCCATAAAAAAAAATGTAAAAAATGTATATAATATGGGCGAATTCCACATATTTTTCAAATTTATAAAGAATATATAAAGAAACATGTAAAGTATATAGTTTATATACTTTTTTTACATTAATTGGGCCAATTTAATATATTTTTGGGACATATCACTAGATTTTCATCTTCCTAAACAATTCTATTTAAATATCTTCTAAAGAAATTTTTCACCACGAATTTTCCCATTATTTGTTTTCCAAATTGGGTTTTATCATAAAAAAATTCAAGTAAAAAACCTGAAAAAAATTGAAATAATATTTGCAAGTTTATTTGGTGCAGGTGCTCTCCAGACGTTCGCCCACGCCCAGGAGCACCTCCTGGAGGAAGACAGCATCGTAATCCCCTCGAGGAGCACCGTCTACGTCCAGATAATCCAGAGTGACCTGGTGGACTCCTGGCACAGGATATCCCCGATAAAACACCCAAAGACCTCAAAAACCCTCTTGAACCCCCCGAAGTCCATTCAGAAGTGTCCAGGGTCCCTCGCAGTACACGATCTCCAGCTGTCCCAGCTCCCCAGAGCCTCGTTCACACCATTATCCCCCGTTCTGCCCCTCTTCCACTTCGACTGGACTGGAAGGACCCCTCTGGTCTTTAACGAGACCTCGGAAGTGGTCTTCAAGGGGATTTCCGGAGGGAAAGCCTCTGGGGTCTTCATGTGGTGGGACATTGTCATGGATACCAATGAGGAAATCGTCCTGAGTTGTGCACCTGTCTGGGAACATCCAGATGCGATGGTTAGGGGGTCTGATAGCACCTCGGTGAGTTGGAAATAATTTGTTAAATAATGTGTATTAATAATAATTTGTTGAATAATTAACAATTAAATTTAATTAACTATATCGTTAAAGAATAATATAATAATATAATAATATAATAATAATAATATATTTAATAATGTTATTAAAGTTATTAATTTTAAAAATTATTTAATTTAATTTGTTGAATAATATATATTTTTGTAATATTTTGATTGCCACTAGTATTTTGGTTGTTTATTAGGAGATATTGACTACTTTTGTTATTATTAAATAGCAGACTTCTTGAAAATTTTTATTACATTAACGTTTTATTATATTAGAATTTATATTTTTGAGTTTTCAATCAATTGACAGAGAATTCTCGTCTTTCTTCTGTTAAAAAATTTGGGATTTCATTGAATTTTTCAAAGAAGAGAGTGATATAATCAATTTCAGGGCTGACATTTACTCTATGTTAACAAGAACGAATTGGAAAAATAATGAACAAAATAACGTTATAAAAAAAAAGTGGATAATCCAAACTACAAAAAAGAATAATGAAACATTGAATTCCCCTCTTTCTTAATTCATGAAATATTTGAATAAATAAACTTATAATAATAAAATCTCTCATGTCAGATGTCTGAAGCTGTTGATGGGATCCCCTGGAGGGACCACTGGATGCAGGCAGTGTACTACCTCCCAGAGGAAGTGGAAATTGAGGAGAGCGAGGAGTGCAGGTTGATGGGGTGTCACGACGAGTATTCCTTCTGGTTCAAGTTGACTCGAGGGGAAGCTGAAGCCCCTGAACCCCCCGCCTGTGAGTGCTCAGTGCACATCGCCTACCCCAGGACGAGGCTAGGACAATTGAATGATAAATCGAGGAATGAGAAGTACCTGAGGGCCTTGGAGAGGTCCATCACGCCTGACACAACGTGTTTATGCTTTTCTGATGGCTCTCTGCTGGGTCTGGCTGCTGCCAAGCTTGGAGCCAAGGAGGTGGTCATTCTGGAGCCCAATCATATGTCGAGGAGGGCTTTGGAGAGCTTCGTCAGGGGGAATGAGCTTGAGGGAAGGGTCAGGATCCTCCAGGGGGTCGAGGAGATGCCGGAGGGAGTGCAGGATCTCGTCTTTGGTGAACCTTATTATGCCAACTCTATTTTTCCCTGGGATAACCTACGGTTCTGGTATCTGGCCTCACATTTTGCTCCTGGGGTGAAGGCTCTCCCCTGCGCTGCCAGGGTTAGAGGGGTCCCAGTGGAGTTCAAGGATCTGCATAAGATCAGGGCTCCTGTAGGGATCTGCGAGGGGTTTGATCTTAGGATTTTTGATGAATTGGTGATGGTGAGTCGATTCAACTTGATTTTAGAGAATTTTGTTTTTATTTTTTTTTCAATAGGTTTGACGATATTTATAAAAAACTATTGCAAATAATAGTTGATGATTCATGTTAGGAAATAGTAATTAATCTACTTTTGATATTCTCAAATTTAAGGGAAAGAATTCAGTAGCGAAGCGGTAAAACGGGTTAAGTCGATTTTGACTTATGGTCCGTTTTTGATTAATATCTCGGAATCTAAAAGAGATAGCAAAATTTTTCTCATGACCTTTTTTGCAGGGTCAATTGAGGGTTATAAAAAAGGTCATAACAGAAATTGTTCTATCTCTTTTATATTCCGAGATATTCGTCAAAAACTGGGCAATAGTCAAAATCGACTTAACCCGGTTTACCGCTTCGCTACTGAATTAGAAAATTTCCCATAAAAAATAATTTGCTCCAAAAGAGAATCGATTTATCCTGTTTCTTTATGAAGAATAAATAAAAATATTAAATAAATATTGAACATGAGATATTTAGTAAATCTATTGTCACAGGCATCCAGTGAAATTAGTGACGATCCTGTTGAAGTCCATCCACTCTGGGAATATCCTGGAAGAGCACTGAGTTCTCCATTCGATCTAGCAGCATTCGATTTCAACGAGAGATTCGACGAAAATTGCGAGCAGAGTTTTAATGGAAAAATTCCGATAATCGAGTGAGTTTTCCTTTCTGTTTTGTCATCTGTTCAGTGTGAATAATCGCAGTAATGAGACGAAAAATTTCAGGAGTGGATCATGCAATGGAATAGCTCTGTGGGTGGACTGGCATCTGGACCCTGAAACGATAGTTTCCACTGGTCCAACGACAGAAGTCACCCCTGGCCAGAGGATATCCTGGGACATGAACACACGACAGGGAGTCTTCCTGCTCCGGAAAATCGAGGACGTGACGAGCAGTCACGTCCTCACCTGGTCCCTCAAGTATCAACTCAAGAGGGACAGAAATTTTGTGTTCAATTTTAATGTAGAACTCCAGTAATTCCAGAAGACTACTAATTCAATTCGCAATTATGTTCGAATGAAATTGGCTGTCTGCTGTCGCCAGACAAAAATATATTTAAGAGACAATGTACAATGGATGAAGTAACTTAACATTAGGTTATTAAAGTATTGTTTCTACGAAGGTAATTGTGGATTCATTCGTAATTGTTTGGCTAGTCGTTTTCCTATTAATTTTGGATATGTCTTTTGTTTTATTAGGTACTCTTTGCTCTGGTGGGTGACAGCACCGTTGTCCAATTGAAATCTGGAATTATAATTATTCCATGCATTATTATCAGCATTTTAAACTGCATTATTTGACTATTTTTTTAAATTATTATCATTACATTAATTTTGGATAATTTTTCATTTCCAATTTTCTCATTTTGCCATTTTTTTCATCCATTCTATCAAAAGCAGGGATTAAAATCGAATTTATAGGTATTCTTTCGTAATTTAGAAGAATAAATAAATTTGAAAATGTAAAAAATCGATTATTTAAGTGATTTGACAGTGAAGCAATGGAACAGAATGTGTTAAATTCCCTCTTGAACATATGTTTTAATTTCTAAAAATATTTCTGAAATGAAAGTGTTTAATGACGTTGTGGCAATAAAAATTTAAAATGCAAATTAACAGATACTGACTTGCAAAGATATCGTAGAGGTCCACACATAGCGTCCTTCAGCCACTCCTTCCCCTCTAGAATCGTAAGGGAGAGAGCTCCACTCTCCAGAGTCGACAGACACCCCTCAGTGGGTTGAGTCCTTATCACGTACTCACTGGCTGGAACTCCCACCAGTTTGCAGGCCCTCAAGTCGTGCAACGCAGGGCTGCAATGATACATTGCCTGAAATAATCGAAAATTGTTCACTAAAGTCCATCACAAATGATGGGAAAAAGTCAGAGATTAGCAAGCAACTTAATTTACGATTACATAGTTTATTTGGATAGTTAATTTGGGTTTTCACGTGGTCATTAACGAGTTAATTCAATTAATGAACTACCATCATAGTTCCACTGAAATTCCAAAGAAATTCGTCATTAAAAATTCCAAATTTTATGGAAAAATCAATGGAAATTGTAAATTTTGATTCAATTCATTTTTAATTCCATAGCAATTGATTAAATTAGGAGAATTTAGGTAAATAAATTCTTGAAGCAGAGCTTAATTATTACTGAATATTCATGTGTTCATTGACAAATGAGGAATTCAACTGAATTTTTACTAAAACCTGAAATTTCAAGATTTGTTTTCCCTAAAAAAAGACATTTCAATTTTTTCGTAACAGTGCAAACTGATTTTAATTGAAATTATGATGAAAAAAAAATATTAACAAACTTTTGCCTGAGGCCAGGTGCCATCCAGCAAGACCAAGTTATAAGGCTTCTGTCCATTGACCCCGACCCTCGGTAACTCAGCTATATCAACAGCGTCAGCAGTTGGATACAGTAGAATAGTGTTCTCGTCGTTGAGGATTTCCGCCAGTCCCTCGTGTCTCGTCCCTGGGAATTTTTTCCCCCTGAATGTGAGGCATTTGCCTGGCTCCAGGGATAGAGAGAGCATTGGGGCTGTCCGGAGGCACCTCTTGACCTCTGCAGGATGCTGGAGGATGATTATCCTCGATTCTGCGTGGAGGCGAGGGCTCGGGAGGCCTGGACACCAGCAGACACCCACTGGCCTCCTAAAAGGCAATACATTCAATAATTAATTACAAGCAATATTTCATTTATTATCAACTATATTAATTTGAACTGAATTAATTAAACTCTGGGCAAAAATCAGTTATACTAATAAAAACTAAAATATTGGTTAATTAGGTTTAATAATCATTAATTCGATAATTTGACATGGTCTGTTATCATTATTATGTCATAGTTATTGTAATTTATTTAATGTTCTGTAATAAAAAAAATATTTAATACCTCATGCTCTAAAAAATCTGTAATATTCTCTCTCTGTTAAATAGTGATGTGTCTTTCTTCATATAATCGAAGAATATTCTATTTTTTTGGGCACAATATTTAACAATAAATACTAATGTTACACTATGTTACCATTTTAAACCATAATATTGCTCAAACTCGAGTTTCTCAAAGACCAAAGTTTATTTATTTCATATTATTTTCCATCATTTTTTTTTATACTAGTTTTTAAGATATGTATATACTGTAAATATTGAAGTGTTATTCAATAAAAAAAGCCTCCGATAATTCAGCAGTTGATGATGTTATTTTTTTTCTAATACATTTTCGTCACCTGCATTGGGAGCATCTGTCTCTCATCTCTGGAGGGTCAGCTGGAATGCCTGAGAGCTCTTCCCACGCACAAGAATTTTCCATCATTCTAATAATTTATTGATTAGTTATTGTTGAATAAACATTCGACACTGGCTAACCCCTGTCACTGGGGCACTGGACACAGGACTTCAGGAGAATTCGGAGAGCTGATAAAATAGGAGTCTGACGGACCAAATGTTGTCGAGGGTCCCTAGCATATCGACATTTTCGAAGAAGGAATCTATTCTTCATGATTTGAATTCTGGGTTTGCACAGAATTTTCTTATTGCTGGAAGCAGGAATTGAATGATAAATAGTCAATATTATTTTTCCATCCAATATTAGAATTTCATCATTTTATATTCAGGAAAAATACCTTCCAATGTTTTACAATTAATGTTAATGATAATTACTGCTGCTTGAAATTTTGAATTTCATTGAATTTCAATTCTTTTTTTAATAGGGCGAATGGAAAAGTCAATCTTTCATTGAAAATGGAATAATATCCTGCAACAATGGTTTTAGGATTTTATTCCATTAAAAAAATGAAGATAACATGAATGCAAAAAAATTAATAAACATTAATAAAAAATGAAGATAACATAATTCTTGATGTTTCTTCACTCCTCATTAAATTCCACAACCCAAAAGCTTGCACTAACATGAATTGGGAAATTCAGTTGTAATATTGTATTAAAAAAATTTATTTGATTCAAATGAATGAGAGATGCATAATAAATAAACATTGTCCTCGTGGCGTCACATCCTCATTTGGTTCAAGTGCTTCTCAGAATTATTCTGAAGTGCCTGCGATTCAATTGCGGAGGGATTTACTTTCATATCTCATGTAACAACTGGCCGAAACAGGCTCATGCCGATTGATAGATTAATCCACTTCATTTCGTTAATGGTGACGTGGTATCTGATTTTACTCCGGGGATTTCTGTAATTAATAGATTACTCTTGTTCTTTTTGTTGTCGATAAGTTTCCGGAAAAAGTCCTATCGGGTAATGTTTTTAAAGAGATATTCTTCAGTGAGAGCTAGATAAAATTTTAAGAGTTTACGTCAATGAAAAACGCAAATGGAAATGTTCAATGGAAAATATTTTACAGAAAAATAGTAAAAATAAATAGAAATGGATTATTCAGTAGAAATTATTTCTACGGAAATTTATCGGCTCAAATTTTCCACTACTTTTCATTAAAAAAAAAAACAATTTTTTCTTCTGATGAAAAGAAGAAAAATGTAGGGGAAAAAAATGAGGAAATTCAGGTCGAGGAAATCGTATAGAAAGATGAAATTATACTGTATTTTTCCTATAAAATAGTTTCTATCAGACATTCTATAAAATTTAATAGAATTTCCGCACATTTTTTAATTTGATTTCAAATAAAAATGCCTGAAACACAATTTTACTCCCCAATTCCCCGGATTTAAACACAGTATTGTTTCGTTTATTTTTTTCTCTTCGTGTAGACTACGAATATCTGTAGTACCCAATTACCGTAGAATTTAATCGTTCACATCTCCATCGATATCCATCGCTTCACGGTAAAAATTTGACGGCGATGCGAGCATCATGTACCTTGGAAATTCCAAGAAGGGGAATCGGATCTAGATAAACGATAAGGGATTGTGATAAATAGGTTTGGCCATCGACATCGGCGTTGCAGATAGCACTGAATTGTTCTAGTTTCCCTTGACAATTCATACTGACAGTCAACAGGGAATCATTGGGTGATGATGCAGTGGATAATACCGACATTTTTCTCCGTGGTGTTTGGGTTTCTGGTGATTAGTATGGAAGGTAAATAATAAAATCGGTCAAATGGAGGTATTTATAGGAGTGATGTTTCTGTCGCGAGTATTCAGAGATAAAACTTTTGGAATGGAATAAAAAAATGTTTTCTCACATTTTTTATTCATCTTTCAGCGAACTTTTGTCTTTTGTTTTGACTTGAACGAAAAAATTATCTTATATTTTGCATTAATTTTCAGAAAACTTTTGTCTTTTGTTTTTAATGAAACAAGAAAATTATCTCTTTCCCACATTTTTTCTTCAATTATTAGTGAATTTTTGTGTTTTACCTTGAATTAAACGAAAAAATTATTCGCTTTTCCTCATTTCTCTTCATTTTTTAACTAAACTTTCGTCTTTTGTTTTGAATTTACCAGAAGAGTTATGTTTCCTCACACGTTCCCATCAATTGTTACTGAACTTTCGTCCTGTTGAGTGAATTAAACCAAAAAATTATGTTTTCTCAATTTTTTCTTTATTTTTCACTAAACTTTTGCCGTTGCGTGTAAAATTATCAGTAAACTCTTGAATTTTTCTCTTCAAGGAACTGAAAATGAACTTCTTCCGGACACAGTTACCTTCAAAGCCGATGGGAGGATTGTGAACGGAAGTAAAGCTATTTGCGCCCAATTCCCGCACATGGTAAACCCATTCTCCCTAAATTCCCGATAACGCGACATTAATCTATTGAACAAGGAATTCGCGGATTTATCCAGGTGTCGTTGAGAAGACGATGGACCTCCAGCCATTTCTGCGGAGGCAGCATAATCGGTCAAAAGTGGATTCTCACCGCGGGTCACTGCATGTTCCGAAACAATGAGGTGATGGGGCCTTCAACATTCTACGTTGTTGTTGGGGGGGTGAATCTGGATGACAAAGAAGTTGCCCCTCGGCAAGTGAGGTATATCGATCAACTATTCGTCCATCCGGCATACGACGGGACCTATCTGGTGAACGACGCCGCATTGCTATTGGTAATCATGATTTTTTCTTTTTTATTTTCTTCATTGTGAACACAATTATTTGTTTAATCATTTTTGTCATTTTTATTCAAGTGATAACAACATGATAATTTTCTTAGGAATAATCTGTTCTTCTACTGTATTTTTTTTGTAATTCATCAAATCGCGCCTGAAATTTTCTTCAGATCACAGCATGAATTGTCAAACTTACTGGGAAAATTAAAAATTCATTTGAATTAATGGTTAATTTTAATTTTAAATTCTACTTTGAAAAATTAATGTTTAATTTTCAGTTGGATTCAATAGTTGGATGAATTTTTAAAATGAAAAAAAAAGTCACTGACTTCTCAGTGAATAGAATGAATAAATTATGCATGTGGAAATGTAACAAATTGTTATGTAATGTATGTAGAAATTTTTCTGGAAATCTTTCCTTTTAACAAATCTCAGGACTTTTTATTTGAAATTTCAAGAGTAATTTTTCAATTGTAAGAGACGTTTATGTATTGGGGTTTCATTTTTTTTATGTCATTACAGCTGCAGGAACCACTTGTATTGACAACTCCATACGTTCAAGCAATTCCCTTGGCGAAAATTACGCCGGAAAATGGAACCGAGTGTATTGTTTCTGGCTGGGGTTATTTGAAAGAAGTACGTAATATCGCAATTAATTCCGCATGTTTCGTTGCCTCGATATACCTGACACTATATCCTCCATTCATCTAGGATGACCCAGTTGTCAGCAAGGATCTGATGTACGTCAATCTGCCGCTTCTGTCGCGACCCACTTGTAAGACGCTGTTGAAGAGAGTAACAAAAATGACGGACGGACAAATTTGCGCGGGATACATAGATGGGCTCAGAGACGCCTGCCAGGTGAGACAATTTCATTGGGGTAGATTGAAATTTATGAGAATTATTTTTTTGATTATAAAAAAAAAAAAAAATTTAAAAATAAATTTTTTATTTTAGAAAATTTCATAGGGCGGAGATCCGCATCTTTTCTGTGCATTTTTCTTCAATAGAAATGGAAAATATTCTGCGGAAAAAAATCAATAAAAGTTGATTTTTCTATAGAGCTTATTCTACTGAAATATTTTCTATAGAAAATTCATGAGCTCAAATTCCTAAAATTTTTGTTTGATTTTTAAATGAGAGGAGAAGAAAAATATCCAGATTTCTATTCAATTGTCTCATTTCTTACTAATTGATTGAGAAAACACTTTTTTTTTTAATAAAATATTTTTAAAAAATATATTTATAACAAATGAAAAAAAAATCAGAAATTCATGTCGAGGAATTTCTATAGAAAATGTTTCATTAGAAAAATGAAATTCTACTGATTTCTCTTCATCGAAAAATATGAAATTGATGAAAGAATATGCTCCCCGCATATTTTACTTTTCACTCCACCAAAAATTCCGAACATGCAAAGACCGAATTTCGATTTATTCACAGGGAGATTCCGGAGGTCCTCTGATATGTAACGGCAACCTCACCGGCATTGTGTCCGGCGGTCGAGGGTGTGCGCGCCCCGATCTTCCAGGATTCTACACAGAAGTAGCTCATTACAGGGACTGGATCGACAAGATTCAATCATCCGGAGGTTCTTGCTGCATGTGTGCTTGCGATAGAAAAAACAGCAGGTCCAGCGCTACGGCTGCCTCTACGTCACTAACGTCAGCAATCGTGATCTTTCTGTCGATTTATTAAAAACTGCATTTGGTTGTGCGACAAAAATTACAGAGTATTTATTATTCCTCTGCCCTCGCCATATTTTACGGTTTGAATAACTTGGGCTAAAATATCTTCAGGAATTTAAGCCGAAGGATTGTTTTAAAATTTTCTAATTTTTATCTGCCGATAAAACGGTGATTTTTGCCTTCTGAGGAATTCATGTGCAGAATTCTGTGCCGAATTCATTTGCAGAATTCTGGTTTTAGTGTTGTGAATATTCCCTGGTAAGTAGCCGGCTTGCGGTCTGATAACAGTCCGACAGTTGATATGAATGCAATTTTTATGGAACTGGTGACAACAGAGGGTTAACGTTTTCCTCAATAAAAGAAGAAAAATGCGTAGATAAAAAGAATCTCAGAGAAATGATAAAAACGTAACGTAAATTCTCTGGCGAAATAAAGAAAGTGTATTTTCGTCACTCGGCCCGATAAACGGCGCTTACTCGGGCTCTGTCGAGAGGGGGTAAAGAGAGTTTACCGCGGCACTTGAATAATCGGTGCTCCAAGGAGGGTAAATGAGACGCTCGGTGCTCCAAGGAGGGTAAATCTCACTTACCCATCCTAGGAGCGATAAAGTGGGCGTCACCATGTGCCCTGACGTTCCCCCCACTTGGGCATGCGCTCTGCGTTCGGGTAAACGTATAGTCGGATGAGCTGTACAGCGCCTCTAGCGGCCTTCTCTACAACTTAACCCACTAGTGGTAGCCATGTTGTTGTGTGTCATTGAGAAGATTTATCATTAGAAAAAAGTCACTCTCCGAGTTTTTGTTCAATTTAAAGTTGATATTTTTGTTCAAAAAACAACAATTTCTAAAATATCAGTATTTATAACGTCGACTTCTGTTCTTAATAAAAGAAGAAAAATTGAACAGCTGAGTATCTTCTTTTATCTTTGATATCTGTTCTTATTTTCTATTTTTTATGCAATTTTCTTTTCACAGGTCCAAAATTACCGTCATCAACCTACTGTTTTTGGATATTTTGGCGGACTTTACTAGTTATTTATTTTCGCATCAACTGATATTGATTTTATTTCGATTTATTTTTTTCTATTNCCCCTCGCGGACGGGGCCCTTTTTTTCCAAGCGTGGACTACGCTCGATACAACCAGAATCTAAAGACTTCTAATCAACGAAAAATTATGAAACCGACATGTAATTGAAGCTGCAGTCTTCCCTTTTTCGTTGTTATTTGTTAGGTTGAGTTAAATTCCATAGTTCTGGAAGTAATCAATTTCAAAGAGACTCATTCTATCTCGTACATGAGGAATTGAACTAAAACACAATGAAATTATCATTCTTTATTTGAAATTTGCTAATGATTTAATTACGAAATGAACAATTCATCAATTCCGAATAAATTACACGTTTATAAATTCGTTCTCATCGCAGTCTAGACTACAATTTAATTTCCAATCAATGAATTTTTCATTGTGTCTAAAAAAATGATTAATTTCATGTGAATAAAAATCTTCGTTGGCAACAATTAGAACAAACCCCTCCATTTGATTAAACTAAATCATTTATCGTGGCGCAAGTAAACAAAATCAAAGGCATGTGTACCCCCACCCCCGACGCGTAAACGATCTCTCAGTTTATCTCTCAACTCGAATGAAACCGTATCACCATTAAGGATATTCCCCTGACAAATTACCCCGACGCATTATCCTCCCATCGGCCTCAATCAAACCCACATCCCAGCAGCGTAACCAGACCCTCGAAGCCCTCCAACCCCTTCGCCCCAACATATTGCCACTATATCGACTCAAGCCCAGAAATCATCTTACTGGTTGAGTCCAGTTTACCGGAATCATTCCTGCCCGAGTGAAGAGTTGAGTTGGAACAGGGGAAATTCCCACTTGTGCAAACGGCAATAGCTTTCCAGCCCTTCTCACTTGTACCTCGATTTTCCCTTTTATTCGGCCCCTCGTGCACGTGAACCTCCGGATTAGATTCGACTGGACATTCTCGATGCCACTGTGTCCGCTTCATAATGGCCCTAGAGGGGTTGGATGGACGTTGGGAAATGGGAGGGATGTTGGACGAGCCTTCGAGCGAGTCTGGCAATGCTCCAGTGACTCGAGGACCTCTTCTATGTCCGATGCTATTCTGGCTAGAATATTATTCGTTATTTCTGGGCGGAGACTCTGACCTTGGTCTGGCCCCCCAGGGGCATCGAAAAATAATCCCTCGTTAATTAGACGCCTGGCGTCACCACAATGCATTTTTATTTCGGACAGAAATTCTGATCGAATTCGGTAGGAAATGCCTCGAAAAATTGAAATTCTGTCTCTATATTATAAAAATCCAAGTTGACTTCTGGTGATGAAAATTTGGTACTCGAAATTAAGACTCCAATAGTAAGGGTCATGAGGGTCAAAATAAGGGTCACAAGGATTATTTTAAGGGTCAGAATAAGGATCATGAGGATGATCATATGGGGGTTGACGAGCGGAATAAGCAAGAGGCGTAGCCCCTAGTAATTAATAAAAATAAATATTATCAAAAAGTCACATGAGAGTCATTTTAAGTGGCTAAAAAAACTACTGAAAATCAGGGAAAGCTTTGCGCCATGAATTCTCCGCCAAAAGGCGACGAAAAAATTTGAAAGATGGCGTAAAAAATTGTTCCTTCCGTAGGAACTGGATGACGCGAGTTGAGGGTGATCAGAAGACGATAAATAATTTTTAAAAATGTTTGAAAATGCGAGGTGGGGGCGCCGGCATCGTTAAAGTCTCTTAGGGTTACGTGAGGGTTATTCGAAGGTCATGGAGGTCTTCCAAATGTAAAAAACAATAGATAAAAAAATTCTGGGGGTTTGAGCCCACTCATTCTTTAATGAATAAACTAAAGATTTAATTTCTTGAATAATTCCAATGGAATCACAATCTCCAACTCGAAACAGACGATCTCCATATCCGAATAGTAGTTTCAAATCCCAACAGCCGTGATATCGTATTTCTGTAGAACTCATTCGGGATGTGTAATGTAGTGATACTGCTTAATATTCATTGAAGTAACTGCATTCTATCTCAGTGTAGCCACAGAAGGGCATTACCCGGCTATCGTTTTCCCGGGGATTGTGCTGAAATTGTACATGAGCTTGAATTTTCCATCCTTCGTTTTGGGAGTATTGCATTACATTAAACGCCGGTTCTAATAATGTCTTTTCCATTCCAGGCATGGCGAATGAATATCATTCCACAGTTCCATTTGCGGAAAATCCTTTCCATTGAATTGTCGTTAAACAATAACTCTTCCAGTTTTTCTGTTTATTTTACTTTTTTCTCTATCCTGAGAAGAAGCAGTTTAATCGTTTTGAATAATGGAATGCAAAATTATTCATAACCCGGGGTTCATAGACTTTTTTGTCGAGGCAAATGCCACTTTTTAAGTTGGATTAGTTTCACGAGATTTTTTTCTTTCTTCACTCCAGTTGCTCCTCTTTTCGCCGGTCCTGGGGGGAGGGCCCACGAATACAGGAGTGGTGTCACGTACTTAATTTCCTAGCCAGTCTCTAGACCCAGCTGTCTGGTAACGCCTGGGAACAGCACACCGCAAGCTCCTCCGAGCGTTCTCTAGTTTAAGAAAATCGTCGTCTATATTCCAACGGCTCTCCTCGGTACACTCAACTTCTCTTTCACTTCTTTCTTTCACAAGCGTTTGGAGAATTATTAAACATAACTGTGAAATATCGGGGCTGGAGTTGCGTGGAAGAGTGGCCGTTGCACGGTACGTGCACGGGATTTTTGAAAATTTGAATCTCGGTGGGAGACAGGTTTGGGTTATTCATCTCATTTTTTGGGGAAAATGGAGAATTTGAAATTAGTATTTATTTCAGGAGAGAATTGCTGGAATTTGACGATTTGAAAGAAAATTATGTTTATCTTTATTAATTACTTAATGTAAAAATTTGAATAATTAGATTTTAATAAAATTTAGACGAAATCTTCTGATGTTTCAAAATAGTTCAAGAAATGCCGTCTTCATATTTCAGTTGCTTTTTTTAGTCCCGAGGTCACTATTTCAATTATTTATTTATAAACTTTATTTATAAAATAACTAAATTATTTATTTTATAAATATGTAATATTTTGTAAATATCCAATGAATTCTTTTGACTCTATAATTGGCCTGTGGGCTGTTGGGTTTGTATACAGCAATGAATAAATAAATAAATAACGAATATTTTAATAAATAATAATTCTGTAATTTCAATATTTGGATTTTTAATAAATTTCGACATCTTTTGATGTTTTAAAACCATTCAAGAAATGTTGTCATCACATTTCAGTGGTTGGTTTTAGTCCTGAGGTCATAATTTCAATTATTCATTCATAAACTTTATTTATGAAATAAATAATTTAGTTATTTTATAAATATGTAATATTTTGTAAATATCCAATGTGTTCTTTTGACTCTATAATTGGCCTGTGGGCTGTGTCTGTATACATCAATAAATAAATGGCTAAATTAATTAATAAACAATGAATATAAAAAAAAAAATTCTGTAATTTCAATATTACGATTTTTAATGAATTTCAACATCTTTTAATGTTTCAAAACAATTCGAGAAATGTTGTCTCCACATTTCAGTATTTGTTTTCATTTCCGAGGTTTCGCAATTAGACACTCACACTTTGAATGGTCTTTACGACCCCCCATTGGCCGATTTACAGGTACTAATATGCCTGATACTGCCGGCATCGACCAATGACACTGTCCAACGCTGCTCAACCCCTTTCCCTGCGGCGTAGACGGACCGCGTTCCGAGGTGGATAATGCGTCGTATATATGCGCCATGGTATGCGACGGACAATTCGTTCCCTCGAAATGTTATCAAAGTGCCATACTCTCCCCTCTGCAATGGATATCGCCAGAGGGTTGAGCGATACGTCTTCCTGCGAGCGGTTTCCAGAGTTCTGCGCGGAATTTCTCCGGACCTCATGTTTTGGGTGTACAGAGGGTTTCAAATTCTGAATAGTTGCAGGT